AAAACCCCAAAACCCCAAAACCCCAAAACCCCGGGATGGTATTTAAATATAGATAAATTTTATGTAATAATTTAATTAAAACTTATCTTTGCAATGATCGAGTTCACTAGTAATCTCCTGTTGAGTCGTGATACATTAGAAAAAGGTCACCTAGATCAAATGACATTCTTACATCCTTCTTTTGGGCAATTGAAAAATACCTTTGGGAGCTTTGAAGAAGATGCGCATTTGTTGAGAGGAATACAGCCAGTGGTAACGAATGAAATGAATCTTGATGTAGATGCAAAGAAAACTAGAGAAGCTCTAGCATCCTCCTCTGAAAATTCATTTGAGGAGAATAAAGAAAGAGAACTTTCCCATAAAGCAGATGAAGATGCTGATAAAATTTCAGTCATTGGTACTTCAAAAAGAGGAAGACGCCCTGAATTAACTGGCCTGATAAAAAGAAAGGACGTAGTAATTAAATCTTGCCTTAGAAAAATCAGAACATTTCATTGGGTAAAACTCAGGAAGATGGCTTCATTCTTAGCCAAAAGAAAAGTTGTCAAGAAAGAGCTTAAAAAATATTTGAAATTTTATATCGAACGAGAGTTTGGAATCGAGCCAAATCAAGAGTTTATTTATATTCTTGACCGAGTCTTGTTTATTAATAAGTCGGATAATCCAAGCGAAAACATTTATAAGGATTTGTTCTATAATTACAGTTACAACAAGTTGAAGAGGTGAATGAAACTCCCTTACTTCAAGTGTCTAGTCTACCACTACTCATTTGAAGTTAATTCTTCTACTATGGACAGAGACACCCAAATAGGAATTCAGATAATTCTTGATTCATAGAGTCATTTTGTCAACTCGACGGAGAAGGTAGTAAATCTGCTGATCGAACTCATAACCTAATTTTTAATATTGGGCTAAACTATAACCTTGTTTCCAATTTAAATTCTCCTTATTTTCTTCTTCGAGGCTAGCTTTATTAATGACGTACGGCACTTGGGTTTGGCTAATATTTCCCATTAAGTTATTCAAAAAGAGGATAAAATTTTAGGGTACTATTACTTATTTCATAGATTTTCATATTAATCTGAAACAGTCCGAGGCAAATTGAATTAACAAGAGAAGAGAGTTTGCACAAAATTATGAAAATTCTCCTTGACAGCTGATATTAGAAATTATTGGTTATATAGTCCTAATTCAGGCTCGATGCAATTTTTTATTGTTTGAAGTCTTTTGAACTCTTTCTTTAGTTTTATAACTTATCTAACCTCTTTTAACCTAAAATAGTTGATAATATAAGTAAGAAAAATTGTACTATAGTTAAACCTTGTTATTCTTATTATGAAATCTGAATAAGGTTTAAATATTAGAAAATCTCCAACTTATACTAACAGAATAATTTAAGCTATGATATCCAAAATTCGATTTCTTTATCTTATATTTAAGTATAAGCATTCAAGAGCTTCTAAAATAAGACCCAAAAGCAAAGTTTCAGATTTTCTATATATAAAAATTTCTAACATAAACTACCTCATTACGTATTGAAAAATAATAAGTCTTGAGATTATTACATACTTAATTTTTAGTTAGACTTTCTCTCCTCCGATTTCACTACATATAAATTTCCTCTCCCAAAACACCCCAATTCCCAACCCCAAGTACTATTTTCCCTTTCTATTCCTGTACTTCCCCTCTAGATCCATCTGTGCAACACCCTTACTTAATCACTACCTATCCTAACAAGGTTCCAAACATGGCTCCCTGAGCAACTTACAGAGAGTTGGAATTTTGGAGATGTATAGGTTGAGTGACTGTGAAGAGGATCTTTAGTGGAGAAAGGATAGAGCAGGGATTGGGGTTATAGTGGATAGAGGAAGGGTTAGTATTAAATTTTGGGGCTTTGGTAACTATAGAAAATGTATTCGCCTTGAAAAAGTCAAGAACATTTTGTTTGAGACGTAAACTAAGTCTTACAGGTTCATTATCTTACGAATTCAATTAGACTTATTTTTCTTCATTTTAGTAAATTATTGGCTTTGAGGGGCCCATTTTATGAATTAAGAAAGTGATAACTTACTTCTAGCTCTATGTTAAGTTCTCCTTAAAACCAAGTGATATCTAAAGTATTGCAATTTTGAATTTTTTACTGCTTAAATTATACAGATGATTTGGTGAAGAGCCTCTTCTGTGATTTCTTCTTTTAAAATTACTAATTCTAAAAAAGAAGCTGACTTAATAATTAAGCATAAAATCTATGTGAACTTCATTAACTGGAATTGGACTTAGCTTTCCTCAGAGATATTTGTATTAGCACAAGAAGGTTCATATAAAAATAAGAGTGAGGGTCCAGAATAAATTGCTGTTCACCATAAAGTTTTCTTAATTCATCTCACTTGCTAACCCTCTTTTCTTGAGCTTACCTTGCTCTTCTCTAAGAAGACATAGAGCAACATTTTCAAATACAGTTAAACCTAACAATGATTAGGATGAAGATGAGAGAGAAATAGACAAAAATAGAAATCGATCTAAATATTTCAGACTCAACTCTAACTTTATCATAAAACAAGAGAGCTTATAATATCAGGCATATCAGCCTCTTTTTCTATATATAAAGTGACATAATTTTAACTAAGAACCTAAACCAGTTACTTCCTAGCTGGCTTCTTAATTTCAACTATTTTAAAGCTTTATTATTTACCATAACTGTAGGAAACCTAACTCTTTACTGTAGATCCTAAACCAGGAATAGCATCGCTTTAAAATATAGTTAGATTTGAAGCTAACTCGACCCTCATATGATGGTTAAGGAAAGAAATTAGTGATTTGAAAGATTCGTATTATCTCGAAAATTATCGGGTACACCAATTCGTGTATATTTCCTTGAGCTTATGAAAATGCTTCCAATAATAAATTCTTTGATAAGCAAGATTTTACAAAGAGGTTATGGAGATCGATAATTCGTAATCTGATCCAAAAGCTGAAAATTTTCTTTTTTATGGTTATTTATTTGAGAATGGTTCCAAAGAAGCTTTAGTTTTCACACATTTTATGACTAAAACTAAACACAAATTAAATTAGAATGTAACAATTAGTAATAAATATATCTTTTATTAAAAGAACTAAGAATATTCCATAATCCCTATACTACAAACAGTACTCCCCATAAACCCTTCAAGATCTCCACTAAAACACCTATAAACTCTATCCCCCAACCCTCCCTTCCCCTAATCCCCCACCCCCACCCCCTCCCCCCAACTTCCCTTCCAATCCCTCCAGCCCACACCCACCCTAATCCTCCCTCCTTTCCTCCCCTCCCCTCTACCCTCCCAGTTAGCCCTTGCCCATTCTGGTTTTCAATACAGAAGGAAAACGGAGGGGTTTTGGGGTTTTGGGGTTTTGGGGTTTTGGGG